GAGGAATGATGAGCTGGTAGCTTTTGTGAAATCTTAAGTGAATACTTGTTTCCAGTTGGCTAGTACAGTAAACACGGAGATGAAGCAGTGGTATGATCAGAGGATCACGCAAGTTGCCGTTAGGTCCATTACCGACACCACTTCACAGAAGGCGAGTTAACGTGCTCTTTTTACGAGATTTCTTTTTATCAGAAACAGAATTTGAATGAAAAAATAACACAATTTTTGCATATTACCTTTTCAGGAGAGACTGGCGTTGTTGCGAGCGGAGCTCATAGACGTTCGAACAAAACTTAACAACCTGGAAAATCGCGTATGTTTCTCAATGATGAGCATTAATTCCACTACATGGATGAATTTTTCAATCAATAATCGCAGAGAGTAGAATCAAGTTATTTTGAACACCATTTTGCTTACACCTGGATTTCAAACTTTGAGATTGCTCCCAAACTGTCAGTAGAAAGTCAGGAGCCGATCGCAGCACGCGACGATTTTGTCGTCGCGAATGGTGTCGCGCGGCGTTTCATCCCGACATGAGCAAGCAGTAGGCAAAGTATAGGTCGGGGCAGCTCAAAAATGAGTGAATTTTTCACCAATCTTTTCGATCACATTATTAGACAAAGTTAGCTCCTACTGTCTTTTCCGGTCTTACTTTCTTTTTCTGTAGATTGAAAAACTTACTCTAAGCTATCAGATAACTTCCGAATAGCCTTTTGCACAAACCATATCGGAAGATCTTACCAAGCGAGCACGATCGAGGTCCCGGCAGGTCGACCTTCGAGACGGCAGTGCACCGGGATCACTGATGATAAGTATTTTCTCGGAAATTCAGTGGGGCTCTGCGCAGCCAAGTTCTGTAGGAATCTGCTTACGGTGACTTGATCAAGAAAATCGGGGCTTAAACAATTAAATTAGGCTTTCTTGAGCTCGTTTGCGATGGTGTATGGCTTTTGGAGACGATTGGGGCAGTAGACAGGGGCTTGATTCTCATCAAGGGTTCTTTCAAGAGTGTTGCTGCAGGACTACGATCTACCTCGTGTCCCTGTGGAGCGTAGAATTCTGCGCTTCATGAGCAAAGTGACCCTTTTTCTTCCCTGTCTCCATTCCTACCCATCCCACACCCCCCCCCCCTCTTCCCCGAGCTAGGTAAGTCATAACGCTGGTACGCGCGCGATGATTACAGTGGGAAGTACTTCAGCAACCCGTCTTTTGACCAACGAACGCAGGTTGTTATATGAAGCAGCTACGAAAAATCTATTTAAATTTTTCGCTGAATAGCGATTGACAACAATTATCCCTCATAAAGAAAACTTTTTCGACATTTCCATGATTTTCTTCAAAATAGTAGGTCACAATTGCTTTTTTAGAACCGCCTTCTGGAGTCCTTGATTGCTGATATTGAAGAAGCGAAAGCTGCAGACCTAATGGTCGCTGACACCCTCTCCAAAGAGGACCAGCTCCAGCTGAAATCGCTAATGGAACAGTATGAGGCCGTCACAGGTGGAGCTCCTATGGAGTCAAAGTACAGCATTGCGGTATGTACGCTTTATATCGGGCTTCTTTCTGTATATTATTTCACTACAGTAATTAAACGAAACATTTCAGTCTCTCCGAGAAGAAATCCTACGGTATCGCGAACTCCTGTATGGAATTGGATCAGGAATCATAAGTGACGGGCCTAGTGCATCCGGAGCACTTTCCATTGTCCATCACAGATCGTCTTCACGTGAGACAAGCCTGATTTCCTTCTCTGTACCGTAACCCCTACGGCGCAAAATTTTCAGCCACTCATATTTAACTCTTGGCCCCGTGTTTTCTTTTCGAAACAATGCTGCTAATGTATTGTTCAAGGTAGGCCACGGGATAAACCCCGTGCATAAGAGCGCTTTGTAGTGATGACTGAGCTGCGGAATGGACTGAAAGTGGAACGAACGGCTCGTATAAAGAATATACAGCCTACATTTTCTCCGCGGGTATCTCTTACTAATGGACCTATCCATATGCGGGAAGTAGCGCAAGATTCCGAGCGAATTTAACCCATTCGTGACAATGGCAGCCACCGGTGGCTGACAAAGATCTCACTTGTACAATGGTATCCACCGGTGGCTGCCGTGTTTCAAATGGAATTTGGAAAGTTTTCTTTCCTGAAAAGAATCTTCATACCCTCATTCATCTATGCCAGCCTTGGGCACGGGGAATCTCCATCCACTCAAATTTTATTGAAGAAAAATCTCCTGACTCTCCTGCTAATGCGCAAACCCGCGCGGTCGCGAATGGGTGAATTGCAAAATTTGTTCGGCTAGAAGATCTGGCCGAGTTCTGATTCCAATCACTCATGTGGCTACAGCCTTTCCTACCTTTGCAGCATCGTCGCTTAAATAAAAATTATGACTAAGAATTAGGCTTGTGTCCACTGGTGGGCTTTATCTTAGGGCAAAGCCCAATTCTGCGTCAACTTCCCGACATACAGAGGCGGTTGGTTTTTTTGGCCTCGATTTCGCTGACGAGGATGCCGCAGTAGCTATGTCATACGCAGTGGACGCGTTGCTCTGAGCTCTGGGACAAGTCAGAGTTCCGACGGCGGTACCAGTTAGGAGTAGCGGAGCGAGGCCAAGCACCGAGGGCCTTTAAAGGCCATAAGCCTTGCCGCTATGATATGCCATTTTTCGCAACAACGTCGCACTCTCTTAGATCCGGGGTACACCCCAGGAGGCCCGTCGCGCGGCAAAAAGGCAAAGCAAGCGGACGAGTCGCGCGCGCACTTTAGGATTTTGCGTCGACGCAAAAGTGTGTTCATTGCACCTCCTACAGTACTCGCCGTTTGAAATCGAAAATTCACGCGAATAACGCGAATCCTCGTTAATTTCGTGAATTCGTTATAAGTCGGGTCAGAGTGAAGTATTCCAGAAACGGAAAACACCGTTGAACTCAGCTCTTCAAGCGCTACAAGATGGTGCTAAAATATTTTCAGAAAGCTTGATTTCGGAATGCGCCATGCACTCGATTTCATCTCAAAAAGTAGTTGCTCGCATGTGATGTGTATATAATCCCGCTTATGCGGGCTAACCGCTACACACAAAGAAGGGCCTCAAAACTTACCCCAGAATGCGCCACGTACTCAATCTCATCCACTACATTGTGAGATTAGATGAATGTTATTTTCCGAATTCTTAGATCTTCATTTCGTTTTTAAGCGCTTACTGGCTTTACGTGTTCCCTCTGCTCTCAATATCCCATCCTCTGTATATCAAGTGGAATCTTTGAACAGTTCTCAGCAGGCATAGTGGGCCTATTATGTGACATTTTCCATTTTCAGAGGAGATGTTTTGCAGAAAGCTGTGAAGATAGCGAACAATTTCCTTCACTGTCGTAGACTATGGTCACTTGTCTGTAGGAATTATGTGGAAAACTCGGTCGCAAGTGAGCGTTCCTTCCGTGGTGTGGCCCCAAACATGCCTCCTCGTCATGCCCTTGTGGAATGTTCAGATTTTTTGCATTTCCAGATGAACTCGCAGACCTGAAATGTGCCCCGTTAGCTTCCCCGTGGAAAAATGCTATCGAATGATATGCATTACTATGTCCATTGAAACTTTGGTTTTCACCGTTTTCAGCCTTCCCCTATTGCCGGATTGGGCACTATCCCACGATTACTGCCCCAAAATCTCAAAGTTTCATTTTTCGTCGAAACTTTGTCTATTGGGGTAATTCGATGCCCTGATTACGAATATGACATTCATTTTTGATGCTGGTGTCATTTGGCGCCATTTGGCGCCGTTTGGCGCCAATTTGGCGCCACGGCTGTTTTCACCAAATCTGCTGAAACTTCGTCATTTGGGGTTATTTGGGGTCCTGATTACGAAAACGACACCCGTTCAGCGCTGGCGCTATTTGGCGCCGTTTGGCGCCAATTTGGCGCCACGGCTGTTTCCACCAAATCCGCTGAAAACGTGTGTATAGGGGTTATTTGGGGTCCTGATCACGAATATAACATCCAGTCTTGACGCCGGCGCCATGTGGTGTCACAAACAAACTTCACAGTCAGAGCGTACTCTTAGGCACCTTTCTCAGGGCGATGCCAGACGTGGAGGGAAAGGATCGAGGACTTTCATGAAAGGAGCCAGAAAGAATTTTGCAGCGTTGGTTGAACGGAGAAACGTGGTTTGTAATCGGATAGCGAAAACAACGTCAATGAAGAGAGGGGCTTTACCTTGAGGAAAAAAAAAAAAAAAAAAAAAATAAAAAAAAGAGGACGTGTACGAGACGCTCAAGTTGAATAATCTGCACTTACTGGTTGCGATCCATGGGGTTGATGTCTGTGCCACTATGCCATTCATGTCAACGATCCATGAGCCTGATCAACGACGAACGGCACAACGGCTGGATTTGCAATCGTCGAGCGTGCCGCACTGGACCGTCGAACGAGACCAGGGTCTACGTTCATGCCGAAAGGATTCCTTTTCCGAGAACTGTAAACTTTCCTGAGTCCACGGTGTTCGCACTGCCCTATTTCTGGCTGCGCGACATGGGCAAGGTGAAGGACAAGGAATACGAGCTCAACGTCGGCCACACCAGTTCAATTCAGTGGGAGCGGTTCTTCCGCGACGTATGTGTGGGGCACTTCAGGAGGAACCCGCCGATCATCGGAAGGTTCGGGTGCGAGATGGAAATTGACGAAACACTGGTTATCAAACGCAAATACAACCGCCGACGTTGGGTACGCAGGCAGTGGCTGTTTGGAGGCATTGAAAGAGGAAGTGGACTCCTTCGGATGGAAGGACGTTTCAACTCTACTGCGGCTCATCATGAAATAGCACATCGAGCGCGGTACTACCATCCTCAGTGACAGCTGGGAGACTGACCCAGTGGTCTCCAGTGCACTGAGGATTGGTAGTACGGGTCGATTGCTGCTGCTCAACGATACATTTATCACCAGTTGAAACGAAGCAATGGTTCTGGTTAGCTCGGTTTCACGGGTTGGTCCTTCCTGTCGTGGGAATTCCCGATTCAATGACTTTTCAATGGTCTGACACCCCCCCCGCCCCCCGCGGTCGGCGTTGAGAAGGGTGCTGAGGTACGCTTTGCTGTGAGTGTTGTGTGACACATGGCGCCGGCTGTCAGATAGATGTGGTATCGTGATCAGGCACCAATCTATACAGTTTTCAGCGGGTTTGGTGAAACAGCCGTGGGCAATGGGCCAAGTGGGCGCAATAGCGCCGCGCGGGGGAACGGATGTGTGTCGTAAACCGACCTCAATAACCCCAAAAGACGAAGTTTCAGCAGATTTGGTGAAAACAGCTGTGGCGCCAAATTGGCGCCAAATTGGCGCCAAACGGCGCCAAATGGCGCCAAATGACACCAGCATCAAAAATGAATGTCATATTCGTAATCAGGGCATCGAATTACCCCAATAGACAAAGTTTCGACGAAAAATGAAACTTTGAGAATTTTGGGGCAGTAATCGTGGATGGCTTGCCAAGCGGGCAATAGGGGAAGGCTGAAAACGGTGAAAAACCAAAGTTTCAACTGGGGGAAGTAATGCATATCATTCGATAGCATTTTTCACGGGGAAGCTAACGGGGCACATTTCAGGTCTGCGAGTTCATCTGGAAATGCAAAAAATCTGAACATTCCACAAGGGCATGACGAGGAGGCATGTTTGGGGCCACACCACGGAAGGAACGCTTACTTGCGACCGAGTTTTCCACATAATTCCTACAGACAAGTGACCATAGTCTACGACAGTGAAGGAAATTCTTCGCTTCCTTTACAGCTTTCTACAGAACATTCCTCTAAAATGGGACTTGTCACGTAATAGGGGGCAAAGGCATGACAAGGAGGATTGTCTGGCCGGGAACACGGGAGAGGACGTCACTTGCGCAGGGTTCCACATAATGCCTAAGACAAGTGCCATAGCCACGACAGTGAAGGAGTGTTGGCTATGTTTCACGTTTCCTGCCCAAAAATCTCTGAAATGACAATGTCATATAGGCCCACTATGCCTGCTGAGAACTGTTCGAAGATTCCACTTGATTTACAGAGGATGGGATATTGAGAGCAGAGGGAACACGTAAAGCCAGTAAGCGCTTGAAAACGAAATGAAGATCTAAGAATTCGGAAAATAACATTCATCTAATCTCACAATGTAGTGGATGAGATTGAGTACGTGGCGCATTCTGGGGTAAGTTTTGAGGCCCTTCTTTGTGTGTAGCGGTTAGCCCGCATAAGCGGGATTATATACACATCACATGCGAGCAACTACTTTTTGAGATGAAATCGAGTGCATGGCGCATTCCGAAATCAAGCTTTCTGAAAATATTTTAGCACCATCTTGTAGCGCTTGAAGAGCTGAGTTCAACGGTGTTTTCCGTTTCTGGAATACTTCACTCTGACCCGAGTTATAACGAATTCACGAAATTAACGAGGATTCGCGTTATTCGCGTGAATTTTCGATTTCAAACGGCGAGTACTGTACATAGCACAACACGCGCTGCAACTCGTCCGACGACTGTGGCCTCTTGCCGCGCTACGGGCCTCCTGGGAGGTACCCTAGATCCTGGCATCTTTGTATAATCGGCAGATTTTTCCTTCATCAGTAATCACTTAATCGTATACCTGCCCTTGATGAAGCTTACACAACGATTGACCTATATGATATCACGATTTTTTGAAGCTATCTCTTTCAGATGAAATCGGAAGCGGTGTAAGCGCATATCGAGTACAGCGTAGCCAGGCATACGGTGCGATCAACCATTCGCGATCGGGCAGTGGTGCTTACTCGCAGAGCGGCGGTGGGGCTACATACACACAAATCAGGAGCTCTACAGTAAAACACTCACAGAACGGTAGCTATTCGTCGAAAGAATATCGAATTGGAGGAGGTGTGACGACAGGACAATCCCAAATTGGAAGCGGTGTCTCCACCGGTTATTCGCAGATGGGCAGCGGTGCTGGTCAATATTCCTCGCAAATCGGCTATGGTGCGACCACGCAGGACATCGGTTCTGGTGTCGTCCAGAAAGGCGAACGATACGCAATCTCGAGCAGTACCACCACGCCAACAGTTGTCTCAAAGTTGGACTACATGATCAAAGGAGCCGCTGATGACCTGAACACGTCGAGAATCAGCTCGGAGCATGACTATGCCATGCATCGCTCCGCTCAAGGAAATGTCGCTATTGCTGTGAGTTTCTGATGATCCTTGCACCTGTGGACAGCAAAAACGAGCATAATTCTTAACATTTTTCGATTCTCATTCGCATACAAGTAAAATTAGGTCCATGTTGGCTTTGTCCCAAATCTTCGGAACCCATTCCCAATCCAGTGTATCCGACCAAAACAAGTATTTGAATTTTGTTGAATCAACAAATAAACAAAAAACAAGTCAAAATATTAGAATTTTTTATTCGTACGGTAATACATCCGTAACCCTTCAGGAGGTGGCTGCGGACGGATCGTACATTATTCTGGAAAACACATCGCTAGACTGTGATCAACACCTAGGTGAATGGACACTTCGTAGCACTAGCTCAACACTGAAGCAAGTGTCCTACACTTTCCCTCGTGACTTTACTCTCACTCCACAGAACACCGTTCAGGTCAGTCATGTTTTTCATAGCTTATGAGGCTGAATCAGTGCTTGAGAGTCATTTAAAGGCACCTGTCACGACCGATTTGGTGTGTTATTCTATTCGAAAGGTAGCCAATAGGGGCGAAGAGGAACGCTCTGAAAGTCCAGTAGACCTCAACGAAATTTCTCCTGTGAGGTCGACGGTCGGACGACACAGCTGTGAGGAACGCGGGAGAGCACGTCGCGCGCAAGAGGGCGCAGACACCACGTATGCGTATGCGAGTGGTAAGAGTGGCAGCGGTCGCAGCACCCGAGCGAGGGCATGAGCTCCCTTGTCGCTTCCTTTCGAGTCGCAACAAAACCACCAGCCCTGTGATGAGTTGCCCTGCTACCTAACCCAAGGAGAAGATATCTCCAAGGATCTGATCGCAACCCGTGCCTTTAATCATGATTGGAGTCATCGTGACCTAGCAGTTTCCACAGCTCTTTTCACAACATAAACATAGTAGAGGTCTATGACCAGCAGCACTGGCGACAACCGACTTCTACCACGTACAGTAGGTTGTGAAAATATGGCCTGTAATCATGTCAATGCGGATAAATTCACGTAATGATTATGCCAACGTTTTCATGATGCAGACAAGTGGTTTGAAGTGATTGATTCCAGTCGCTCTCACGCTGAAACCGTCGTTAAAAACAAAATACTTGAAGGTACTTCTCACGACTCATCCAGGTGGAACAGTTCCTTCCGTGAGTAGGATAAAGCATCTTAAGGCTTATTACATGTAGTACTCGCTGCTCGGAAGTCCGCTACGAAGGCGCTATGATCATTAGAGCTGACAAGGGCCTGTACTTATGCTTGGAACGGGTGACGCAGCGAGCTGCCTGCATCTCGCCGGTCCCCTGCGCTCTCTCGCTCTCGAGTCACTTCTAGGCGTCCTCTCAATAAATTCTTGTGAGATCGTGGTCTCTGAACATTCCAATGTAGAGATGCCGAGGTAAAACATTGTAAAATCCTTCTAGGCAACGTAGTGAATTTTAGCTTATGTCAAACAGGACAAAGATCGCCTTCTCCTTCTAAAAGAAGTGTTTTATGTATGTACCAGGTTTGGTCCTCGCATCATGAGGAGCCAATTTGGGCGATGGTTTTGCGATGCCGTGTTGCAGCGGAAATTTGCCGTGTTGTATGCGGTGAAATTTCTCTGCACAGAGACCTTATACTGAACCTGCAGAAGCGCTCCGTGGTTCTAGTTCCGCACAATTTTTCCACGAATGAAGCTGCCGAGCCGCATTTGCAGAATTGGTGTTACTTTAGCGAGCTAAAGCATGGAGGAAGCATGCTAGGGGCTCAGGACGTTCTCTCGCACAGTATCTTTCGTCTCGCCATATGCCTTCTAGACAACCAGCAGAACTAGACTGAAGCAATGAGATTTAGATTTAGGCTCTCATTTTTTTCGCAGTCTGGAAAAGTGGCGCTTTTCTTGAGCGCTTTCGTTCACCAGTCGGTCCAACTTCCACCTACTTTCATATTTGGGCCGATAACCACTTCAGTTTTATCACGGGTTGTTCTTTCAAAGTATGTGCATTGTGAAGAACAAAGCCTGCTAGCAAATCCAAATAAATCAATCAATGAAGGCGAATTTTGTATTGAAGACATTGCAAGCACTGAAAATGAGTTGATTCAGATTTTCGCACGAGGCAGAGGAGTGCATAACCCACCTCATTCGCTCGTGTGCGAGTCCGATTCAACATTCGCCACTGGAGACGATCTTAGCGTCTACCTATACGACAACAATGGCCAGGTTTGTGTGCAGTACCACCAACTTTCCGGAGAATTTTTGATCATTTGATGCAAGTTAATCCGAGATTTTTTTCAGGAACGCGCTCATCTCAGTCAACGCTCATTCTTCCGCCATTCCACGTCATTCTAGAGCAAGATCTAGAGACACTTTCGCCACGACAATTACTGTCAATCTATTCTGTGAACTTTAACTCAAATAGATTAGAAAGGGAATAAGTATGAGTGCGATTGCTACGAAGCTTTTCAATCCCGCTTTTGTACGCACACAATAAACTTATTGTATGGTTACAGATGAATTTCGTCTCTTCTGAATCGTTTTCCACAATGGTCACACAAACCTATATCTATCTAGTCTTTACTTTTTTATTCCCTGATTTGAAGGCAGTTGTCACGATGAGTAGGCTGACGTCATTGAACGTCATTGGTGGAACAGCCTCAAAGACGTCGTAACCGTAACCTGGCGCGCTGAATGATCTATCCACCAATGACGTTCAGTGACGTCATCACAACCGCACCGCCCTTCAGTCATTAATCACTGTCTCTAAAAGCACAGGAACTTCGAATGTGAACGCACAACCAGAATATTGCAAGCTGTTTCAGAGGCAAAACACACACACATGCAAATAACTATGTTTTCCTGAACCACAATCGCGTGCGTGGCGCAACAGAAGCCTTGATAAACACCGTGAATTCGATCAGACTTTCACTGCATGTATACCTCCCTTGTCCCAATTTTCCCATTACAATGTTCTTTATATCACAACGCGTGGTTTCCCTATCTGCATCAACTTTCAATTTGCGGAAAAATTAGACAAAAAAAATAGGTGACTCCCACTCCCTTCCCTCACCCTGGAGGAGTTTCCTCGCCTAATCCACCTCCACAACTTTCAATGGTGGAACCTACTGCTCAACTATTCTTGACCCTCTCCAACTCTGCTCCCCCCAAATCTAAAGAGTGTCGAGGGATTGGGTATACGTAACTTCTGAAACAGTGAATCTATTTATTTCATGCATTTTCATGAAGATTCCTCACATTCCAAAAAAAATTTTACTCCCCTTCCGACCGCGTAGCCCCTGAAGTTGACACCCTTCTAAAACCTCAAATCTAATACCCTGGTAAAAATCGTCATCACAAAACCTCATGGCTTGTGCTTTCCGTCCTATCCTCGCTTCCTGGAGAAAACAGCATTGCTTCTGATCCTACACTGTTGAGAAAGCTTGGAGCTCCCTCCGCTCCCCGTGCATCGGATTTCTCCGAGCATCGTAATAAAAAGTAGTCACCAATTATGGATGGCATATACTAGTAGAATATTAATAGTGGCTTGAATAAATGCGTTTGGAAATGGATCACACGGCAAAACGGTCATTACTTATGGGACCAAAAAAAGTTGGCCTACTCGTAGTGGCGATGGCATTCCTTTGAGTTCACGTGAGAATTGGCTGCTCATATTGTTAGTAAATTAGCACTTTGACGACAGCGCGGGACACATACGTCCCGCACTTTCACACGGAAGAGACTTGTTTTTCCTAAATTGTGCCTCCATTTTCATGCTTCAAGACTGGCCCTTCCTACTGTTGGATACGAAAAATAGTTCTCTCGTTACCACTAATGAAATTATTGGTAATGTAGTAACTGTTGATGCAAATTTGTAAAATAAGGTGGGTAGGTTCGCGCACAAGGGCGTGTCGTCAACGTGTTAAGTCAAGAAGTGCACTTGACGGGTAGGCAGAACTCGATCTGGCAGCCACCCACATGCGTAGCAGGCAGCTCCTCACACCAGGCACCACCTTCGCCTTGTTTATGAGAACGGCTTATTATGCGAAATAACATAATGCGAACGTAAACTGATTTAACGACCTCGCAGTAGGAAGGATTGACGAGATTTGAAATCAGCGGGAGGTGATTCGGCACTATTCAACTATTACAACCCCAAAATCTCAAAATTTTAATTTTCGCCGAAACTTCGCCCATAAGGGTTATTCGATGCCCTGATCACGAAAATGACATTCATTTTTGGCGTTGGCGCCATCTGGCGCCAATTGGCGCCAGTTTGGCGCCAGGGCTATTTTTCACCAAATTCGCTCTAAACTTGTATACAGGGGTTATTTGGGGGTCCTGATCACGAATACGACATTGGTTTCCGGCATTTGCAGTATTCAACGCAGATTTTCCGTTTTCCTGGGCTCCCACTTGTACATATTACCTCAGACTAAGCTTAGGAGGAGGGAGGACTCGGGGTGGGTGAACCAGGCAACGTGTGGCAAAAGTTGAAGCGTATAAGATCACAGGATGAGTTATTCACTCACTTCGGAGCACTCTTCTCCCCAAAGGCTTAGTCCTGATCGCGAGCTAATCAGTGAGAGGGCGCAGACGAGCGGAAAATAGGCGCCAAATGGCGCAGCGCCAAAATGAATGTCATATTCGTAATCAGGACCCCAAATAACCCCTATATACAAGTTTACAGCGAATTTGGTGAAAACAGCCCTGGCGCCAAATGGCGCCAATGGCGCCAATGGCGCCAACGTCAAAAATGAATGTCATTTCGTAATCAGGGCATCGAATTACCCCTATAGGCGAAGTTTCGACGAAAATAAAATTTTGAGATTTTGGGGTTGTAATAGTTGAATAGTGCCGGTGATTCTTTATAGTGTGATTTCCAAGTATGAAAGCTTGCAAATTTTGAACATTTCTGACTTCTGTGTGTACCCTCCCTTTCAAAAAGCGAGAAAGTGTCGGGTGCAGACCATACACCACAAGTGACGACGGCCTCACAAAATGTAAATGTTTTCTGCCAATGAAATGATTAGCCTGTTGCAGTTGTATTCTATCAGTTGTCACTAATTACAACTATCATTTACCAAAATCAGCTATCACTATGAACCACTACTAACCAGATTTACTTGGAGGCCGTCGTCACTTGTGGTGTATGGTCTGCACCCGACATTTTCTCGCTTTTTGAATGGAAGGGTACCTCACGCACTTTTTGAGGCAATGTTATTGCTATCGAATGCCCTCCATTCTACACTGAGGTCATGCAAGACTCGAGTGAAATTGAATTCTTTGAAATTGAATTCTTTGAATTTCACCTCAGAATTAGTAGAGTCAAGTGCATGTGAAATAATGCTATCCTAAACTACACTGTTCAAAAATTCGGTCTCATCCAGTAAGGGGGGCATGTGGTGCGACAGTTCATATTGCATGAAGTAATCCACTTTTTTTCAGGGGAGGGAAGCTCCGGGGTGGGTGTAAAAGTTAAGCGAAATGGTTCACGCACCCCGGGGATTCCCTCCCCTTGCAAAAATTGGAATTTCTGTAGCCGGACAAGAACTGTCACACCACATGCCCCCTCTTACTGGGCGAGACTCCAAAAATTAATTTTTAGATGACCCTGTCAAGTTTTTAAATTCTCTGTATTGCATTGTTTTGGCAAGTTCACACAAGGGTAAGGAAATGAGCTCCAATGAGAATAACGCGCGCTGCCGCCGACGTTCACTCGCTGTCATGTCTTTGTTTACTCTGTTGACGATGAACTCGTATTACTTGTCTGTAGTGCATTGAGCGAATGCTCTATATCATTGCATTCTTCCTTTTAATTCAAGTTACTACCCTTTATTAGCCCAACTAATGTGTTGTTAATGTTGTTCGCTTTGTTCGCATCCAATTGTTGCTAAATCTAATCTAGAAAAATGTATAGTCGTGTTTTTTTGTGACGAATAACCAGTTCGTTGTCAAGAACCAGCATTTCCTTACCATCCGTCGACGGTGGAGCATCTGTGACTAAATTCGAAGTGGTCAACGAGTTGATGAAATTTACAGAAAAAAAACTTGGGTCTATTCCAGTTAGGGGGGGGGCATCATGATGCAGTTTTTCCAGAAAGCTAGGGTAACTCCGAGCCAGGGGGAGTGTAGCCAGTCTAGGGGTGGGGGTGAGGGCAGTCACTTGACATGCGTGAAAAGCTGGAATGTTCGAGTTCACACTAGTTCGCCGAGAAACTGCATCATGATGCCCCCCCCCTAACTGGAATAGACCCAAAAGCTTAATGCTTGTGTGACGCCACTTGCAGAAGGTGTTGTGCCAGATTTGTATTTGTTCATTTCAATTCTTTTTACTCTTCTTCTTATCAAAATAGCGTTATTCTATGCTTTGTGAGGTATAGCTCTGAGTGGTGTGAAGCTGGTACTGGCGTCGAACGAACGCTTCTTCATTAACGAAAACTTTCAAAATTATGAGTAACATTTGAAGCTCAAACGCGTTTTCACTTTCACGAAGCCGAACCCAGGGTTCACCGTCCGTTGGGAACCTCTTAGCAAGGAGGGTTGCATCTAAACCTTCGAAGGGAGAGGATTGTAAGCGCAGGAGCTGGGGAGCCTAGGGGGGAGCGAGCGTCAGTCTCGGGTCTCCGAGAGCAGGGTCAACGCTAGGCAAGCCAACGCGTGGTATGCTAAAGTTGCGTACATGAGTGAGCCAGTACGATTGCGCTATCGGCGAGATCGCTCGATTCCGAGCAAACAATTTCATTCGTGACCCTACGTCGTGAGCGAATAACTAGAGGCGTGTAGAGTCGTACTCTCAGAATGAAAGCTCTCTGAGCGGTATTGCAACTAGCGAAACTTCTCTCGCCGCGTACAACGATGGATTCTTGACTATCTTCGGGATATGATAGCCAGTCCGTATAAGCAGGTTTCTAAGATTACTGTACCTAAGAAGATATTAGCATCAACGCTTCCCTCTAAATGAGCTTTCAAATGAATCAGCGAATTAGAAGGGCGCCCGAGGCGTGGCGCGCACCAAGGCAAGGGATGTAGTGCAAGCGCATGCTCGGAGCTTCTAGCACATCCTTAATTAAACATAAAATTGGTCTTCCAAGAAGTTACGGGCAGTGAAACCTAAGAAAACTCGCGTTTTCGAGAAACCATCGACAGCATTAACAAACCCCTCAAATAAAAAGTAACAACGGGACTAATTTTTGAACTACTGATCTTTCAGGAACGCTTGGGTGCTCGTTAGAAAGCTTGAATCCTGTAGTTTATTATACCGTGTTCAGCTTCCCAAATGAATGACTTTAAAGGAAGTTATGATCGTTTGAAGGTAAAAAAGTCGCGGTTCCAAAAAATAGTAACGCAAACCCCCAAAAAAGTAACAACGGGACTAATTTTTGAACTACTGATCTTTCAGGAACGCTTGGGTGCTCGTTAGAAAGCTTGAATATATTATACCGCGTTCAGCTTCCTCAAATGAATGACTTTGAAGGAAGTTATGATCGTTTGAAGGTCAAAAAGTCGCTTTGCACAGAAAAAAGTAACAACGTACTAAATTTTTATTAAATTAACTTTCGAAGAATTTTTACCCATGGTTGGAGAGAGAATAATTTGAATTTTCCAAATCAAATCACTTCGGCGCTGAAGCTCGAATATGAAGGAAGTTATAGCCTTAGAAAGAGGGGTGTAAAAATTGTGTTGCAATTGAAGAACGTGAAGGATTTCAGTATTTCAATTGGAGCGATAATTTTTTCTGACTTCTCATAAGTTTTTATCAGGTAATATTGTCAATATTCCGGTCACTGGTTCAGTTTATTTCATCTCCTAGTTTGGTAACCCTTTGGAGTACACGGATATCTTTGAATGCATCTCATTTTTTCGTGTTTGGAAGCAGCGATGAATATCTGTCGTGGATTTTGCTAAAGTTTCATCTTTGATGACTTACGTAGAAATAAATATTGATGGTAAACACTGTCTCTACACAAGTGTCACATACAAGGGGGTCGTATCAAATCACCCATGAAGGGGGGGGTCGTAAAAAATTTCCAAAGAGTAACAACGATAGGGTTGACCTGCCGGTCTCCGGACATCTGTCAACCGTGAGGCTAGGCAATTCAGCGTTTTGTTGTGCTGTCTGGGAGCTCTCACACAAGCGCACTATTACAGAATCTCCGCTTTCTTTACCTCCTTTAAAAGGCTTAGTCCCACTACCACAAAGAACGTCTGCTTTTCCTTCTACACTCTCACCCCCTGGTTGACAGAAGCCTTGTAACCGTCGCAAGGAGAATGACTTTTCGCCTTTCGCAGCGCGAAGACGCTTTTCTCTGCAGGAACCCCAGGTCCAATAAAGATCGAAGTGGACCGAAATGAGCTTCGCTCTGCGAAAAGCGAAAAAGTCGCGTTCTGTCTCGGCAAACCACTCCCCAGGAGCTGGTGGCAGAAAGCGTGATGATATCTCCATCGATGGTATGCGGGAAAGGGAAAAGCAACGCTGTATGCAGGGTCAGGAGAAAGGTTTGCGAAAAGTTTCAATTCCTCTTCCCTCCCCCCTGTTTCTACGTAACGTGTGCACCATGGCATTCTCTATGCGTAAGGAGGCAATTGTGAAGGGTTGTTTCTACGCAAGTACGAAATGTGTGAGAGAATGTGTTGATATGGATCAGCAGGTTGAAATTAGTAACCTTCTTGCAACGAATAACTTTCTTCAGAGAGGGTTATCTTCAAATAAAGAAGCCTGGGAAATTTTGGCTTGCTACGAATGTCGTGCAACATATAATATCTTGCCACAAACCGAGTCAGAGAGAATTTAGCACGTGGCGAGTTTCACTCTTATCTGGCTTCGTAACCTTGCAAAATGGCCCGCGCAAATTTGCAGCAGTACCGTAGAAGGTATCTTTTGTCGGTCTCGCTCAAGCGGGATTGCTTCATTTTTGAGAATAATTTCGTGGCAAAAAATAAAACAACTTCCAATTCCAAGAATGTTAAGTTATATAGCAAGTGCGATTAAGGTGTCATACACGATGCTTATACAAGTTAAGGTCCAAAAATGTATTCATCTTATGGAATAGCTATTCCAATTATGATACTTATATTCCTTCTACAATAAGACACCTCTTCAGTGGTCTCGATTAAACACTCAGGGCAAAGGGGGCGAGAGGCACAAAACAGGAATTGAAGCGCACGGCATTGATAGGACTCGTTCAGGGACGCGCCTTGCGCCCGACATTTATCGCTAGTATCAGTTTTCGTTCTCTCCCAAATAGCCTAATCGCTCCTATAAGCCAAGGATGGTCCCATCGTAAAACTACTAGCAGATCATCTCTCCTGGTCGATGCGCAGCCTTCATAGTGAGAAATGGGAAATGCTCTCCGAAATGTAGCTTTAGTACCCACACCCCTATGTCGGCACTGCACCTGCCCTTGTTCACTGCTGACTCCGCCTTCTTGCAACGCGACGGACCTCTTGCCGGGTACCGCAGTATACCTCAACGAGGGAAGATTCGAAGGTTGTGGATCGTTAGTTCAGAACTTTCCACAGCGCGTAACTTTTTTCGCTGCAAGAACACCAGGTCCATTCTTGATCATCGGTGAAGCTGGGGTTCCCACAGCAGAAAACGTTTTGCGCTACGGAAAGTGTAAAAGCCGCTTTTTTTTCCTGGCGAACCACATCTAGCAACTGGTGTTGTTGCGTAAATCCACGTACGCGTGTCATTACCGATCCTCCCCCAATCGATGGAAACTTGAATAAGTTATGGGTTTCAGATGGAGTTGAAAGTGAGCGTGGACGGCGTCGAACGAAGTATTTCTGGTGTTTCTAATGAAACCACTTGTGCACAGATTATCTACGCCTTAGCTCATGCAATTAGCCAAAAGGGACGTTTTGTAATGATTGAGAAATATCGGAATAAGGTTGGTGTTTTATTAAGAATGTTAAAGAGCGCTGTTGCTATGATGCACGAGTTTTCAGGAGCGTCGCCTTTCACCGATTGACAAGCCTCTTGAACTGCTTGAGAAATGGCGTGAGCATATGTCTAACGTAACGTTTGTTTTGAAGAAGATTGACGATGAGGATGACAACAGCTTGCCATCGAATGGGACACCACGTACGTTTAAACATTAGTTTCTGGCATTCTTTCTTTTTCCGTGTTCGGTTTTTTGATGATTTTGCGCTTCTGGCCTTGGAGGGAGTTCAGAGCGGACGAGTTTGTTGTTGTTGCCATTAGTTAGATTTTAGAATGAGCCATCCGCAAAGTGTCACCTGCCTCACAAGTACTAATTCAAGTGCGTGTAGGAGTGCGGAATTCCGCTCCTCAGAGCAAATATCTGTGGGGACGCTAGCCTACCTTACCCTGCGATTCGCCAAATTCGCAAACTTACCAGGAATGCTTTGAACTTCCCATGGAACTTTGGAAGGAGACCTAGATATCGATAGAGTCTTGAACGCTGATTACAAATATGGACACTAAAACTGCTACGTGAACTTCCTAAGAAAGTTATGAGCCTTCAAAGTTGGCAAAAAACGTTACTGAGGCGAGCTTACCTGATGGAATCACGGTCGCCGTGGCTCTGCGCAAAAACGAGTCTCATATTCGTAATCAGGGCACCCATTAACCTTATAGAACAAGAAATCAGGCAAAAAGCACTTTGAAGGCTTACAACTTCCTAGGAAGTTCACGTAGCAGTTTTAGTGTCCATATTTGTAATCAGCGTTCAAGACTCTATCGATGTATCTAGGTCTCCTTCAAAGTTCCATGGGAAGTTCAAAACATTTCCTGGTTAGATGCCCTCCCAAAAGTATAGTTTGGAGTTTCGTCAATTCGCCTACCTGTTTCTCGTCCGCACA